CGAATCAAAAATCTAATCGAGCAAACATTAACAAAGACGTAGAAAAACTAGAAAGCCAGTTACGAAAAGCAAAACATGATCTAGAAAGTGCGAAATCGGCCGTGGAAAGAACAAATAACTCTGCAGATAAAAGAATCGAGGACATCATTCTAAATGAACAGCCTCACAGATATAGTACATCTTGTGGGCGCAGAAATTGGCTAATTTTGAACAAGGATGTTGCCCTTTTGCAAAGCAAATTAAAGGGTACTCTCCCAACTCGGAAAAACGTTCTGAGTCTTTTACATTCGGTTGTAAACAAAGAATCACAAATGACACACACGGCTACATCCTCGGCTACATCAACTCAAACACGGCGAGATACTGATCACAGGATGGCCCCCCAAAAGAGAGTTCTTGAAGAACAATTTTCTATCCAATTTCCAACAAAGAGACAAAACAGTGCCGCAAGCAGTAACCCTATATTTGTACATAGTCAAGAAAAAGACGATTTTCGCTTAGCCTTGCAACTACAGCAGGCGGAAATGAAATCAACTACCGAAAACGAAAGTTCGAGCACAGCAGTCGAAGTCTTTCAACATGATATTGATGAAACTCAGGGTGCAACATCTGACGAAGAATACCTACAGATGGAAGCAGAAGCGGCGGCAGCGTTATTACACCTGCAGAAACGAAAGAGCAAAGAGTAAAATTGTATAAAAATATAACGAACTTTATAGTTTTCTTCAAAAGGTAGCTATACACATTTCTATTTTTAGTACAAACTTGTTTATGAAAGTCACTCATTTTGGTATAGCACAAGTTATTATATATTGTCGTTGTTTTAATTTTGTTAGGGTTTGTATAGTTTTGAACTCTGGTTTAGTTGAATACTTATACTATGACACTACAAAAACATTTTCTTCAGTATCTAGTTTATACTGTACATATATTTGATATTAATCATAATTTAAATAAGTGAAATATTTGCGGCATATCACAGAAAATGACAACTGTCATTATTTAATATGTGTTTGAGATAAAGTATATACAGCATGCATTGCACTTAAACTTGTAGGTAACCAGTGACTTCAAAAAATCCTTTCATGTCACTTGGGGAAATTAACTCCAGAGAAGTGTACATGTTTTGGATACATTGAGCGACAGTAATGTCAGTGTTATTACCGAAGCTGTATTTCATGACGGTACGCATCTTACCGAACACATATTCCGCAGGGTTAAAGTCCGGAGAATATGCAGGCATGTATACTAGTTCAATCTCCCGGGTCGTTCAGAAATTCTTGTAGAATTTGACCGCCTTGGTTATGATGGGTGGCACAGTTGTCCATCACTATAACTGAACCTGGCTCTAAAACAGGTCTTGCAGTTCTTGGGTTTTCTGAATGATAAGCTTCTTCAAAAAATCTAAGAAAATCTATAGTATCTGCACTACCATTTACTGTGTTGGCGTAATCGACCCCTGTCAAAGAACACATAAGATTGACTGTTGTGTTAGGCGTTTCCGCGTATCGTTGAAGTTCAATTGCTCGTTCCCCAATAGGAGCGTGTCCGTAAGTTCGCGAGGCGTGTTGAGGAAGTTTGAGACCACACTCATCGAAAAATTTTAGCGTGTATGGATCCTTCTCATGTAGGTAATCTATGAAAAGCTGTGTGTATGCCATATTTTGTAGCGTAAACCGTTCTTGGGCGACAATATTTAACTTTTTAAAGCTGTACTCTTTACCACTAGGCAGCCGATGTCGAACTGCCTCGGACAATGCTGTCGTTGAAGTTGTACCGTACGGCAAATCGCCAAATTCGTGCAATTGTTGCATGATTTCATCGTATGTAATTGTAGGTTTCTGCTGTTTCAGAAATTCAACGTATTGTAGGTCCCCTTGAGAAAGGTGGCTTGGGTTGCCACCTGTATTTTTCTTCGGACTAATGCTACCATCTTCGCAGTAGCGCTTCCAAATATTAGATACAACAGCTGAAGATACCCCTAACTGCCGAGCAATATCAGTGTATTTTCCATGGAAAATGCCTGTTGCACGATTACCCCCATTATTAATGATTTTATTGATAATCAACAATCTCAAGTCATGAGATAAAGGTTTTCCTTGAGCATAAAGTCGACTGTGCTCGTTTACGCGCCACATTTTTTTGCTATTGTAACGGTTCTTGTAGATTGTATTTTTTTCCGCGTTTATTTGAATTTAGAGAATTTAGCAGTAGTATTTTTGTTAAAAGTGCTATGTATATATATAATCTTTCAAGTGTTATAAATATTTGTAATGGAAATCGAAAATAAATGCAAAAGTGAAGGCTATAGAGTGCATATGTATTGTAATTTGACAGCTAGCTGAATATAATTTTGTGCATAGCAACATATAATTGCATGCATGGCAACAACTGCGTTCAGTTGTTGTAACGATCATGCGGTCATGACGTCATTAAACACTCAACCTGAATCCGCAGTATTATTTTATTCTGTCTAACACCAGATGATTTTACAATTTTTGACAGTATTACACAAGTGTGCCTGTCCTTTTTGCCCACATTTTTGTTTTTTTTTCTCACTTAATTGGTTAAATATTTAATAAATATGTACAAATATATATTGAAAGTTAACCAATCAGCAAAGGAGGACTGAAGTGCCCATGCAAGGTGCCCTCCCGTTAAAATAAAACGTGAATAGTAATCAATATCAATCAGCTTGATTGATTTGTAACCTGAGTTAAGTAATGGGTTAACTGGTTAAGCATGGTTCATTGTGGCTTGCTGGGGTGAATAAGACCTATCCTACCATTTCAAATACATACCAAATACAGTATTGATGACAAACAGTATCCATGCCCACATACTAAACTGAAACATGACAAATGTACATGCAGCAAGGCAGACAGTCGGCAGCATTGGAAACATTGGGATTGTAAATGGAAACTTTAATATTTGATGCGGAGTTCTGTATATAACCACCATAGATGCCAACAGTGGGATGGTGAAAATAATACTTAGGGCAACAAAGAGGGGTGTTTCGAGTTTGTAGGATATCCCAAAACGAATAACCAAAGATATAGCAGCTGATGATAGGAATAGTACTACTAATGCAATTATAATTGTTGACTTGGCTTTTCTTCCGAATAAAATGTTCATTTGTGATAACAGTGGATGACCATTCATTAAGTTGTCTGTGGCTGAAGCAATTTGATGCGACTCTGTATTGTTAGGTTGTGCTTCATCATCACAATTAATGTCCACTACATCGTTAGCACCATGTTCTTTGTATCGTAGTAGTATCACAGTGATGGCCAATGTCACATATGGTAATAATGTTAGTATGGAACATATCTCAATTAAGATCGTTAAATCAACAAATGCTGTTAGTATAGTCGCTATGAAGCCAGTGACCAAAACTGCTTGGATTGGTACTAATGATTGCTTGTTAACTTTGTGAAGAAAACTCACTAGCAAGCCGTCTCTTGCCATGACGTATGTTAGACGAGAGTTTGCATAACATGCGGTAAGAACAGAACTAAAACAGGAACAAAATCCACCAAATGCTATGACATATTTCGACTGTTTGAATGCGACCATTGCAAAAGCATCAGACAAGGGAGACACTGTCGATAGTTGGTTATATGGGATAATCAAACTTAGTACAGTCCCAATGCAGAAAAAGCAAGTGAATATACCAATTAACGAGGCCATTATAGACTTAGGTAAAATCTTCTGTGGGTTTATAACTTCTTCAGTAGAGAAAGTTATACAAACAAACCCACCGTAAAAAAATATGGTAAACGGTAGTGACTTTAGGATACCGTTAACGCTATATGGAGCAAAGTTGTCCCAGCCCGACCAGTGGTCAAAATCGATGTACACAAGTCCAGTAACGAATGTAAACACGATGACCAATAAATTAATTGCAACAATACCATCGTTGATCCGCACTGAACTTTGGACGCCCATTGCAGTAATAATGGTTACAAGTATAATAAGTGCTGCAGCAACAATGTTCACATTGGGGGCAAGCAGGGCATGGTCAGGTAGGGTGGCATGAGCATCCAAATAATTGAATGTAACTGAATCAGTAAGTGACCTCATCAAATCTGCGGCACCTTGCGCCAGCGCAGCAGTGGCAATCACAGAACCAATTAAAATGGACCATCCGTCCAGAAAGCCACAGAGCTCCCCCAAAGCTGAGTACACATAGTCGTAATCTGACCCAGATGTTGGCACATAGGAGGCAAACTCGGCGTAGCATAATCCACTTACAAAGCACAGAAAAAAGCCAATTATCATAGAGATGACGATTGATGGGCCGCAGAAATCTCTTACCACATTTCCTAATACAATGTACAACGCCACATCGACTGAGCCGCCGACCCCGAGTAAAAATAGGTCCCAGAAAACTAGACAACGACGTAGCGGCGACTCGAAGGTACTTTCGATCGCTTTTCGACGAGTAAATGCTGCTAAAACATTTTTAAAACTACCAAAAGCCATTTTATTTTGTGCTTGTATATTTTAACCGTGATGGGACCTCTGGTGGTGGTGGCAGGTGATGGCACCGTTGCCCCTATACACAGAATAAAAACCCTATATCTTCTATTCTGTGCCGTTGCCTTTGTGACGTTTTCATAGCCTGCGCAAGCCAGCGCCGCAATACCGCCACTTCCGCTTCCGTATTTTTCGGATGGCATCTGCACATGTCATCTGACGTAACGCGCGATTTTTAAAATTCACACGTGTCAATATGGTTGCAACTGCAAGAAATCCATTACATCATTTACATGTAATTTTGACCTTTCAAAACCGTGAAAATTCCTTACAGTTCGTCCTGATACACTCATAAAGATGGACAAAGCATTAAAAATTACTTAGGTACGTTTTCCTAAACATGTATTTGTATTTTTTTGTCATGCACTCATACAGGATATGATATCGATGACTTGAAAGTTTGCCCGATTGTAATGCCTGTAATGAAATAACCCAGTGACATAATAAAATAACCTATACATATGGTCTGATAAATTCGCCCGAATTTTGTTGATTTGCCCCAGGTATATGCCCCAATTTCCTTGGTTTTCTATTTCTTTGTGTGTGTGTGTGTGGGGGGG